ACATACCTTGATTGTTATGTAGTAATAACAATCCCAATTCCTCCTTGTATTGACTTTGGAATGCATAGAGTCACAAGTGTCACTCCTCTAATGGCTTACAAACACCATAAGAAAATGGAGAAGGTATAAAGAGAGAATTGAGAGGTTAGAATTCGTATCTAGGACCTCTTGGGAAGGGATACACGAATTCATGACCCTAGGGGTGTTTATATAGGTGTAGAGATAGGGTTTCAGTCATTATCCTTATCTAGTTGATTATCCATTATGCAACCAATAAGATAATCCTTGAATCCTTATCATACTCGAATTCTAAGGCTTTCCAACCTTAAATTCTTCCACCATATAAATAAGGTAATCCTTACCTTATTTTGTAACTATCACATAATTACAAATCAGCCCCTCTAGTTTAATTAATTACATTTGATCACAAAACTAATTCTTAATTAATTATTGACCAATATTAATTAAACAAATATGATTTCTCCTTTAATATATTATTCTTATAACATATTAATAAATCATATTATCCTCTCTCTCTTTATTCATTTCTCCAATCAAGTTGCTTTGGTGAAGGCAACCCAAAAGGACCATGCACCATCGGGTCAAGTACATACCAAAATAGTTATGGACTTAGACACTAATCCAACAGAAGTACAATACTATTACATAAGTGAACAATGTACAATAGGAATGGGACACGTACATGAGTATTACACGAAGTGTTCAAAATTACGATGTTAGACATTGATAACGAGAATGTGATGTATGTAGACATTAAGGTACGCCACACAACTAATGGGAATGTAACTGCAACGCCCAGACTCTCGTACATATTTATTTACAAACTATTCTTGTTTGAAAGGCTACTCGACGAGTTGGAAGCCCAAGACTCGTCGAGTAGAAGTTAGCCTTGGATGTGGGATTTAGCCACCTACTTGACGAGTCAAAAGCTCTGGACTCGACGAGTAGGCCTGACAGAGTGAAACCCTAATTTCGGGGTATTGCACCCTATTTAAGCATCTTAATCCACACCCATTGGCCTTATTTATAGCCTCCTTGTCCCAAACCCTAATCCACAAAACCCTAGAGCATCTTGTGAGTGTGAGAGCCATTTGTAAGTATTCTTTTGTGTTCTCGAAGCTTGAAGAAGAAGAAGAAGGAGTTATAAGGCTCAAAAGGAAGAGAGTAGATCAAGAAACTACACTTGTTTGGCTACATTTTCTCGTAATCAAGTCTCTAAATTGATCATTCTTTTCTTATATATATTTACTTCCATTTTATGAGAGTTTTGGTTCAAGAACCTTGGTCTTTGGAATTTGGACGTCCCAAGTGACTTATATCTCAAATCTAGGATCTAGAAGGGGCTCCATGGCGTAAAGGTGCAAACTTTATGACCATGGAAGCCTCATGCAAGCATATAAGCATTAATATGGCCTTTTTAGCCCTAAGAGGTAATGCATGGAAGGAAAGCTAGGAACTTTACGTGTCCAACTGATGTTCAGAGCCTAGGTCTAGTATAGTTTTCCTTGGTTTAAGGTGTTAGGGCTTGTGAACCAAGATCAATATTCTAGAGAAGTTAGTTTGAGCTAAACACAATAAGAAGGACTAAGAGTGGGTAAAGTTGGAAAAGTTACCCTTAAAAGTGTGTTCCCAATGTGTAGATGAAGTTTGTAGCTTGGATCTGAAGGGTAGGAGCTTAATCCATTGAGATGGATTAATTAGACAGGGGAAATCGGCAAGTCCATAGAGGGAGTCAACGAGTTGATTTGGTTTGTCCCGTTTTAGGTTCAGGTAGAACTCGACGAGTCGGTGAAGGGACTCGGCTAGTTAAATCGGTAGACCATGACTGTGAATAGCCTGGAAACTGGACGAGTCAGGAGGAGACTTGACGAGTTAGATCGCAATTTTAGGATCTAGGACTCGAGGTAATTGATGGAGCAACTTGACAATTTGGGTGAACCAGAAGGTTGACTTTGACCCAAACATTGACTTTGACCAAGGGTAAAATGGTCATTTTACCCTAAGAAGGATTATCAGATTTTGATTAAGTTTTATTCTTAAATTGATAGTCGGGGAGTCGCTGGAGCAGCAGTCAGAGATTCCTCACTCGATTTTTCAGCAGTCAGCCTTGCATGGTGAGTTTCCTTTAGTAAAAACGGGTCTACAGCCTTGCATGGTGAGTTTCCTTCACTAAGCTTCGTGCTTACAATTTTCAGTTTTGGTTTCAGGTACTTCTGGTAGCAAAGGGAATGGCACGAGATGATTGCACCGCACACACCATTTTTTCAGCCTGAGATGTTTATACTCTGATATTTTGATATAAATTGATATGATGTTTGAGATATTATGACATATGTTTTGAATAACAATGGTTTTATTAATAATTAAAAATAAAATATTTGGTATGTATTTTTGAGATGTTTCAAGTTGACATTAGAGCCTTGGTTCGAGGGATTCGGGCACACTCTCAGGTGTGTATGGACTCAAACTGATGACTTGGTATGAGAATTTTCAAAAGAAAATCATTTTTACGAAAAGAATTTTGAAAAGGGAAAATGAACTTTGAAAAGAGAAAAATGGTGTGGTGCATGCAATCAGCCGAGCTGACGAATTATTTTAATTATTTTTAATTACACCGGTAATTACTGACGAATTATGTGTTTCTTTTTAATCTGTTGTAATTCATTGGTAATCACAGACATATTTTAATTATTTTTCATTTTTTGAGTACCCAAAGAAAATTTTCTCTGCATTTTTTCACAACTTTATTATACATTAATTACTTTCTATTCACTAACATATATCTAGTATTCACGCATCCACAATTGTGTGCATCTACAGACTCCATTACACATTTCATGCCATAACAATTTCACGTCTATAAATGCATATAATATTAAATACACCAACTCACACACATACACATATAATAACTCACATACGTACACATATATAGACGTGCACCACCAAGCTGTGTTGGGAATATTAGGGTTTGTGGTGGAGATCTGGATACCAACTTCGATCGTGATATCACTTTCCGAACTGATATTTCTACCCTATGTCAGGGTTACAAGAAATTCAGCCTAGGATAATCCAAGTGGACACTTTCGTTTCTAGGCACAGAAAACGTAAGCCAATATGCTAAAAGGTTCTTTGAATGTGTGATAAAAAACAAGATCTAAAGAATGTAACCCCCTTCTGAAAAGAAGAGTTGTTCATATACTAAACACGATTAGGGTTTCATTAGGGTTGGGTCGTCATTAGTTGCATTGGAAGCCAGTAACATTAATCCGGATTAGGGTTACCAAAACTAACGAGTTTTGTTAGTTTTACCATAATCACCCTCAAGAAATTAAGTTTTCCATTATGTTCCCACATGCAAAATTCGGTGAGGGGCTCTGCCCCTTGGACGCCGCTAGGGGCGTTGCCCCTTTGGAAACCCCGAACCCCCGACTAGTCGTCCAACCGGCTTTTGACTCGATCTTATACATGCGTGCACTCCGCACAACCCCGTACATGTATTAGAGTACAAATCATGAAGCCCCTTAGCTCGCATGTTAGTTCCAGTTACTTAAAATGACATGGTGACACTAAAATCACCAACAAGATGGATCCCTAGTATCGATAAAAAATTGATCTGAAACAGTCAAATTTCGAAAAAAACATAATCATATTAATTCGATCCATCCGATCCTAACTGCATCATGAATCTAGATCTAAATTTGGATTGGCTCCAAGATTAAACATTTAAATTTCTAAAACAGGATCCATATCCTCCAAAAACTCTAATAAAATCCATTAAAAAGCGAATCAAAACCGGTGTGAAATATGATTAGACAGTTTTCGGATTTTGGCATGCACCAGGATGGATTTTCAGTGATGTAAACCAAATTTCAGAATCGAATCAGATTCATTCTTTCACCTTTACACATATACACATACTCATACTCATACACATACACATACACATACATACACATGTACATTATAAATATATACATACATACACATAGATAAATATATACACGTACGTGAATATATATATATATATATATATATATATATATATATATATATATATATACACACACACACACACACACACATACACACACACACAACATAAACATATACATGGCACACTTTTTATTCACCAACTTATAGCTAATAAATATATGTTCTTTTGAGTACACCAACCCACACATATACACACACATATACATACACATACACCTATAGAGTGGCGGAGCCACATAAGAACCAACATTAGCCTCGGCCCACCCTCAATTTTCAATTTTTTTTACTAGCCTAGACCCACCTTTTTCAAACCAATTGGAAAAGTCGGGAACCCAATTTCGCTCGGATCACCGTTAAATCGGTAGGGATTCTACATCACTGCCTTTTAATTTCTAATCCTCTCGATTGAAGTTGACACCTAGACAACATGAGTGGGAGATCGACATATCGAAGCTATTGAGATTTAAGCAAACAATCATGTTATTGTTTACTATTATATTTTCTATTAGTCTAACTTCTAAGTCATATATAGGCAAGGATGTAGTAGCCCTAGTGCCCCAGCCCTTTGTTTGTCCCCAAATCTTTTGTAGAATGCTAGTATTTTCTTCACACTTTTGCAAGTATACAAACTCCAAATACAACCTCATTTTCTCAACCCAGCAAAATGACAACCATTTTCCCTTTGTAATTTATATATATTTGTAGTTTGTGGGTTTGATAATTTATATATGTTTGTAGTTTTTGGATGTTTGAAAATTGATAAGGAACACCCTAAATTTTTTTTTTTCACCCCTGTGCCTATACATACACATAAATATACATATACATATATACATGCATACACCCATGTATTTATATACATATAAATTCACATACATACAGTTACACATACAAATACATGCACATACATAGAATCATAGAAATGCACATATGTCATTTTTTCTATTAAAATATACATATACATATACATATGTCATTTTTTTCGCCCCTGCACCTATACATACACATAAATATACATATACATATATACATGCATACACCCATGTATTTATATACATATAAATTCATATACATACATACAGTTACACATACAAATACATGCGCATACATAGATACATAGAAATGCACATATGTCATTTTTTCTATTAAAACCAATTTCCGTACTTTTTTTTTTTCGAATCTCAATGTATTGTTCTGAGTTCAAACCTTGGCCATATATTTTTACTGATTTCCGACGTATTCCTAAGAAAAATTATTGTTCTCCTTCGATAATCACCGACGGCATTTCCGTCATAAACTTGACCTAAATTAAGGTTTTGTATTGCGTTGCATTTCAGTCGGTATTGTGTCGGTATTTTGTGACTGTATTTTTCCGTCCGTAATATTGTTGAAAAATGTACGCTTTTCTAGTAGTGAAAGCATATACCGACTAAGTAAAAAAGTTCCATCAAAATAATACAAAAGATCTCATAAGTGATTATCCATGTAAATTCCAACTGTTCTCATTTATTTAATCGCAAAGATTCAATCATAAAAGTGATCAGTTTATGATATTATTACATCACCTTTGAAAGGGCATCATATCATAAGCTATTGGTGATACAAACTGCACACTTTGTAGTTCTTCAAATCGATGGCTTCGTAAAGTAGGAAGATTGTATCTTTAATTTATATTATATTTATAGATGGCTTACCACTCTAGGATGTGGAACTTTCGCCATTTAGACCTTAACCCTGCAGGCGAGCTACTAAGCTATATGCCGCGCGATACGTCTATTTGGCTGTGGGGGGAGGTGGTGATCCGCCACTAGCAGGAGGTGGGGATCCGCCGTCTGCTGGAGGAGGTGGTGATCCACCACCAGAAGCAGGAGGCGGTGATCCGCCAGCAGCAGGAGGTGGTTTCCCATCTTTTGCAGGAGGTGACTTCTTGTCACAGTCATAGTAACAGAAGCATGTATTTTTGTTCTCTCGCTTATGACAAGCTCCATGGATTGCCTTCTCCCAGTCTTTGCACTTTTCGTCGCACAGCTTGCTGTAGCAGTTTCCGGAGTACATCTTGCTACCCTTCTCACATATTTTTGGTGGTGGCTTAGACTCAGTCGCGATTTCTTTTCACGTCATGCAAAATTGAGTTTAGGTAGAAGAAATTAAGTTAGTTAAGATAACAAGAAGGGAAGAAGTAGAAAATTCTTGGTTTTCTCCTGAATCACTCAGTAAAAGTTGTTTCGTTTAATTCTTGATCACTGTTGTGTATTCATTAACAAGAATTTAATTGGTAAACCCGAGAAATCACAATAATGTTTCCGTTTTTGGATGTTTATAAGTATAATAATTTAGTGTTTTTTAACGTCTTGATAACGTAATGTATGTTCATCTACGTTTTAGAAAACGTAAAATATTTGACTTGCAATAAAACCAAAATGTCCACATAATTAAAAGTGTAATGAACCCATACTATAAGAAAAAAAAATTTATTGGATTAATTGTAGATCCAAGTTTGAGTTTAAGTTCTTTCCCTAGCATCTCGCTAATGGTTAATTGATTTCTTGCTGTTCCAAAAAAAAAAAAAAAAAAAAAACATATAATTTTGCTAGAAAATAATTGTCGTCATCCGAAAATCTTGTTATTGTATATATAAATATATGACGGCATGTATCTCGTAAATAGTTTATGCGACACGTAAAGAGATAGAGATTCCCAAAATACAAAAATAGTACTACAAGATTCCGGAACATACATATAATCACATGTATATAACTCCTGTTATCCATATATAACATCAAAATCGCCATTAATTGAAGAAAACCAAGCATAAATGAAGAAAAACTTTTTTCTGGAAGCAGGGGTTCAATTATAATCACAATTTAAAAAAGTTGGGTGTGCATAAGTTCGATCCAGCACCTGAGATATTAAGAGCCAAAACCAGTAGAAGGAATACAGAAGAAACTAACGATTTTTTAGCCATATTGAGTTATGACGAAGTTCAGAAAACTCGCTACGAGTCTGGTCATGAATTAAAGGCCTGGTAATGGGGATTTATAGGCGAAGGAAGAAGCAGTTTCAACGAAATACGTGTTGAAGATGAACACTAACATTTATTAGAAAGATTAATAATATAGTATACTAAAGGGGAAATGACACAAAATACATAAAAAAAAAAAATTACTACAAATTTTTTTCTAAATTAAATATCATGTATATTCCAATTTTGTTGAATGTTACTACATATATTGTTTAGCGTTGCCTCCCTCCCTGATTAAACCCATCCTACAAGGATTAGAAAGTAATACCTCATTGAAGACCCAATTTGCACATCATTGAAAACGCTAATTTATTAGTATTCGTTAACAATGAACATGCATGTGAAAATATTGGAGCACTCAACAACATACGGATAACAAGGCCAAAATGATTTAGCCATGAATCTTTCAATCTGACCCTTTATTGAATGTTTGAAGTGCGTTCGGCGAAGAAAAGTAAATTTGTGTCAACCTTCTACGTCTATGCTTCACTACTACGGTTTACAAATCTTAGTATTAAGACTCGGACATTGAAGAAAGTGAGTTGATGAAGTGACTAAGGAGAAGCTTTTGTACCATTGTGAATTGGATCACAGAGAAAGATGAACATACACTTCAATCAAACATGCCAATTGATGTTTTTTTTAATGAATTTGTCATCATATAGAGAGAGTATAGAAAAGAATCAAGATGAAAAAGTTCAAGATCGAGGATGGGCATTCTCATAGTGAAAAGGAAATGAATGATGAATCAACAAAAGTTGAGTTGGTGTACATGGTAAACGTATTTCTAAGAACATGATACCACATGTTGGCGAATAGTATGCAGTATAGATGAATTGCATTTTTTTTTTTTGACAAACTATGTGAATGCAAATAGGTATCCAATTAGCAGGGGTAGAACAGAAGCACTACAAGTAAGGGACCGGAATCAAAACTTCATAATTAAAATGTATAAGCAAGTTTTATTTTGTTCAAAAATATGATATATTAGAAGTGTAAACAATAAAAATAATATAAAAATTGTTACATCGTTTATCAAAGTGGAACACCACGATGTTTTGCATTGTTAAGGTTTTATACAATTATCTCTAAACTAATCTTTTCAGCAAGTTCTCGTTCGAAGTGCAAAACCAATGAGTCATTCAAAAACTCGTCTTCCATTTTATTTCGTAACCTTGTTTTAATGAAGTTTTTTATTTTCAAAAAATAATATAAAATACATATAATTTTAATTAGTTTCATAAATTGAACAAGTAACAAATATACATACAAAAATATATGATAATATATTATATATACATATCATGGTTCCACGATATTTAAATACAAATAAATCAATCATAATATATTATATATACATATCATCATTTCACAAAATTTATAGGCAAATAAATCAATCTATTTTAATGTGAATAACAAAATAATAAGTTTTAAGTGCAAAATATATATATATATTCCTTAATTCAATATATATTAGGTTACGTAGAGTGGTCACTACAAATTCACCGGAAAAGTGGTGTCACCTCTACGTCAGACCACCTTCACCACCAACCCACTCCACTATGGAAATGATCACCACTAACAACATTCACTTTATATTATTTTTTTATTTTGTACCATTTTATTAAATAAATAAAATATTAAATAAATAACATATTTTATAAATAACATATTTTATATTAATTAAAACCACATTACATAATTTAAAACATAGAAAATTAAAACGAAAATACTAAAAAAACATAATTCATACTTAGAAAATTAAACCTAAATTATTAAAAAACATCAAATCTAGTTGCGATATTGGTCGAGAACTTCTTGTTGAATTTTCATAAACACCCTTAAATTTTCCGGGTCGAGATTTGGTTGCGGCACTGTGTTTACGATTTGAAGATTGGTGAGTGCCAATTTGTCGCCGGTATTGCTCCTCCATTGAATCAAATTTTTTTTTTTTCTAAAAAATGTAGAGTTTTTTCGATTTTCTCCGCTAATACGTCCTCGTAGGTTGATTTCCCGCTAGACGAAGCCCCATTTCTCGCTTTGTCCCTATCCAGTGGTCGACGAAGATGGACGTCCGATGGAACCTCCCCCTCGGTGGTGTCTAAGACATCATTGAGGTCGAGGTTACCACTGATGTCCGACTCGGACGTTCTCGGCCTTTTGTTGGAACCGGTGGTACATCCCGAATGCGTCGTTTCTGGATATAGGACCCATTTTGGGCCATTGCGACAAACTTCCCACGCTTTTTGGTTGCCAAAAGGTTTACCATTGTTGGTAATTTTGTATTGGTGCAACGTCGTTGACAAAATGTTGAAATCGTTTGCTACCACTTTGATGCATATTTTTTAGATTGTCAAATACGCCGTTAAATTTGGTACACATTGCTCTAAGATCGCGCCATTTAGCATTGACTGAATCAAATGTCCAACACATTTTCCTTCCCAATAACATGTGGAAGTGGTCTAAAACACGATTCCAAAAGCTTTGTCCCGATTGCACGTTGGCGACATCCCCGTCTTGTGATAGGGAAATCCAAGCTTTAGCTAAAGCTGCTTCCTCCTCCTCGGTCCATTGGGTATTTTTCTTCTTTGTTGAATCTTTTGATTTTTTTGCATTCTACGACTTGGTTGTGTTTCTTGAACCCATTCGTCATCGTCTTCAATGTCGAGGTTTATGGGTTGAGATTGCGATAATGGAACTTGAGATGGTTGTGAACTTGGTTGTGGATGTTGGGAAGTTTGGGGCTGAGATCGCGGAGTATGTTATTGATAAAAGGGTTGAAATTAGGTTTGAACAAATTGTGGTGGTGGTTGTTGTTGGTAGTAGTGTGGGTGGTATGAAACATTGGTGAATAGAGGTTGTTGTTGAACGGTGGATGATAACAATTGCATATAGCCAATGTTTGCTAACGGATCATTTGCAGTGTTTGGGGTGTTCGGGGTGGTTGGGTTATTTTGGTTTGGATCCATGGAGGAAAGTGTATGTTTTTGAGTGAGAATATATGTGTTTGTGTTCAAAGTTTGGTGTGTGTTTGAAAGGTAAAAATATGTTGATATATATAGAGAATTGTTAGTAATTAATTAATTAATTAATCTTTTTTTACAAACGGTCAATAAAGCAACGGTCAAAATTTATCCCCCAATCAAATCTTCCGTCTTCACCCGTCTCCAGCTCCACGGAACAAGACACCCACCGGAAGGTGGGGCGGTGTTCACGCGTGAAGGGGGCTGACAAGTCAGCTCCCATGCTTCTTTTCTCCTTCCACTCCTGATAGCCTTATTTGTCACTATGTCATAGCTTCATAGAGATAGAGGTACTTTATATCTATACTAACCAACAGTATCGATATCTGCTTTATTGACTATGTGAGAGAATAAGCATTAAATAGGAATAAAAAGAACAAAAAGAGACAAAAGTTATAAACCTTACGAACGGAAATGGCGAAGAAAAACCTTATGGGAAGAAGTCAAGCAGCAACCAGCTGAGCCGCTGAGCACTCAACGGCGGTCGGTGGAGGTTCTGTCTCAGCAGTCCATGCTCCGACGACTAGCAAAGATTCGAGAGGGCGTATGGTACCAACGTGGTGAACAATCTCGCGACCATAAAATAGTACAAGACAACAACGGTGTTAACAGGCGGCGTTCTTTCGGTGACTTTCCAGAAGTAATTTTCTAACGGTGTTAACAACGGTGTTACTACATATATTGTTTCGCGTTGCCTCCCTCCCTGATTAAACCCATCCTACAAGGATTAGAAAGTAATACCTCATTGAAGACCCAATTTGCACATCATTGAAAACGCTAATTTATTAGTATTCGTTAACAATGAACATGCATGTGAAAATATTGGAGCACTCAACAACATACGGACAACAAGGCCAAAATGATTTAGCCATGAATCTTTCAATCTGACCCTTTATTGAATGTTTGAAGTGCGTTCGGCGAAGAAAAGTAAATTTGTGTCAACCTTCTACGTCTATGCTTCACTACTACGGTTTACAAATCTTAGTATTAAGACTCGGACATTGAAGAAAGTGAGTTGATGAAGTGACTAAGGAGAAGCTTTTGTACCATTGTGAATTGGATCACAGAGAAAGATGAACATACACTTCAATCAAACATGCCAATTGATGTTTTTTTAATGAATTTGTCATCATATAGAGAGAGTATAGAAAAGAATCAAGATGAAAAAGTTCAAGATCGAGGATGGGCATTCTCATAGTGAAAAGGAAATGAATGATGAATCAACAAAAGTTGAGTTGGTGTACATGGTAAACGTATTTCTAAGAACATGATACCACATGTTGGCGAATAGTATGCAGTATAGATGAATTGCATTTGTTTTTTTTACAAACTATGTGAATGCAAATAGGTATCCAATTAGCAGGGGTGGAACAGAAGCACTACAAGTAAGGGACCGGAATCAAAACTTCATAATTAAAATGTATAAGCAAGTTTTATTTTGTTCAAAAATATGATATATTAGAAGTGTAAACAATAAAAATAATATAAAAATTGTTACATCGTTTATCAAAGTGGAACACCACGATGTTTTGCATTGTTAAGGTTTTATACAATTATCTCTAAACTAATCTTTTCAGCAAGTTCTCGTTCGAAGTGCAAAACCAATGAGTCATTCAAAAACTCGTCTTCCATTTTATTTCGTAACCTTGTTTTAATGAAGTTTTTTATTTTCAAAAAATAATATAAAATACATATAATTTTAATTAGTTTCATAAATTGAACAAGTAACAAATATACATACAAAAATATATGATAATATATTATATATACATATCATGGTTCCACAATATTTAAATACAAATAAATCAATCATAATATATTATATATACATATCATCATTTCACAAAATTTATAGGCAAATAAATCAATCTATTTTAAAGTGAATAACAAAATAATAAGTTTTAAGTGCAAAATATATATATATATTCCTTAATTCAATATATATTAGGTTACGTAG